GAGAGAGAGAGAGAGAGAGAGAGAGAGAGAGAGAGAGAGAGAGAGAGGGTCAACCACTGCAAACATGTACTACGGGCAATACCTGCGTTCACAGATTAAACACAGTCAGCAAACTAACACTCTGTGGTCCAGCTTTGTTTCTTTGGAAAATAAGAAGTTAATCCCACATCCACGGAGCTGATGTTAAAGCAGAACAGAAAGTCGTTAAATTAACAAACCGTAACCACATGCACGCAACTGCACCAAATATGGCTGCGACGTCCTGTTGATCGTGTCACAATAAGGCACGAGAAACAAGTCAAAAAGAGAACCTTTCATAAAATAAATGTAACAAAAATCATGATGGAAAAAGAGCAAACAGGAACACGACACACATTACCAAGCTGCTTCTTCCTCTTATATTCAAAAAATCTGCTACGACTAAAAGAAAACAGTGAATTGCCATCAGAAACAAAGAATTACTGCAGACAGAAAAACAAGCATGATAACGGATTCACCTATTGAACAAATGTGTTCTGAAACGCAGACCAGCCAGAAATACAGCAACACTCAGCAGATGAAGTCGCCCGATGACTGAGGATGGCTGTTAGCCTCCGCAAATTCAGGTCCACTCATCTGTCCAAAGGTCGAGCTACAGCTAAGCACGGAGGACGAGTGGGTGGTGGGCAGATTGTAAATGTGGTGAAAGTTAACGGTAAACCTTTTGTCGTCACAATCTTCAACGTGTTAACTCCTCAGTGCATTTGATGTAAATTTTTTTTACAAGAAAACATCCCTGCCTCCCATTGTTCAAACAACACCCTGATTAAAACAGCCTTAGTGATGTAATTAGAAGACACACAGTTACACAGCTAAATGGCACACCATTCCTCCCAATCACCTTTTCATGCCGAATTGTTTAATCCATTTGCAGATTCAGAAGTCCTTGGATTTGTGCTCAGACTGGTTTTGACTTCAGAAAGAAGACCAAAATACACTAAATATGTTTTGCGACTTGGTGTGTTTTTTTTTTTTTTTTACTTTGTTCTCTAGCTGGCAAGTCAAACCCAGAGGCCCCACAAATGTCAGGGAGTTACATTTGTAATCCTGTTTTCTGAGACAGACACTTGGCCACCAAGAGCTAAAATCAGGTCAGCCACTCAAGACGGAGACCCGTAACTCCTTTATTAAGGTCATCAAGCTTTACAGCACATGAGGAAAATATAGCGTCGGTCTTAAATGATCGTGTCATCTAAAGAAGAGAATTTCTTGCAATATATTTCAAGCTTCATGGCTAGCTTGGAGGAGCAGTTGGAAGTCTTTAGAACAAAAAGGATCAAGGGGATTTTGTGTATTCTTCTGAACGCCCTTTATACAGAATGAAGCTGATTGGTTGACACAGAGTGGAACGACAGCACAACAATGTCAAGGACACGGTGATGTTCAAACACGATGCCCTCCGCTGATCATTTGCTTGTGGGTTGAAGTCCTGCCCCAATCAAATCATTGATCCGGACGTCTCTGGTTTTACACCCCATCTTCTCTAATGCAATCATGACAGCGCCGTCACATCCAACCCCGTCCCCAGCAGACTTCACTTGCTGCGTGAAAACTCATTTATAACATCACTGTCAGAACGTGTGCCTTCTAGCATTAAGTAACTGCCACAAAGACAAAGCGCCGGGTATCAAAACAAAATAAAATACAAATGTCAACAATATTTTTTACACCGGTAACATGAATTTATTGCAAAAAAATCTACCGTTAGCATGTAATCTGCTGTATTCAGTGAATCCACTGGAATGCATGAAATGTCGTAATAAAAGACAACAGGACCTTTGGGATGAACAAACAACACAGTGACCCATGCACGATATCATCTGTACTAGGACATCGGTTTTCTCTGTGAGTCACCTGATTTAATGGCACAGCCGTCATGGCACACGTTGTCAAACAGTGTAAAATACCTGCTGTAGACACCCTAAAGACATCATTTAAGACACACAAGTACAACACTGACCATTTGAAGCTGGCGATTTACTTAGGGCACAATATCAAACTCTTAAAACTACCTTAGAAAAAAACCCATATTGCTGTGGGCTTAAAAGACACAAACATCATCAGCACAAGCTTGTGCCGAGTCACAAATTAAACATTTTCTTTGCTTTTAGAGGAGATGTGGACATTGTCTCTGGCTGTAGGCTATTCCAATACACTACTGCACAAATCCCATGAAATGAATGATGGAAAAAAAACACATTGTGGTCTGCCATGTTGCTGTATGTGTGGATGGAAAACAACAATTCGCACCTTCATCACATTTGACACGCAGTGAATGCTCTCTTCCTCGCCTTTCCTCCTATAATTACGTCCCAATTTTTTTCCCTTTTGACTTTTGACTACTGAAAGAAAATTGTGTCTCTACATTCTCCCCTTCATTTTTGGGGATTGACATCCTAACATAACATCGTGTTTACATGTGATTTACCCATTAAGAGAGCCAATTTCCATCGAGCTTTGGATCAGCTTGATTCTGCTGGTGTTTTCTGTGGCACACTATCCGGGAAGCATGAGCCGACTTTTTGACGACTCTGCCCTCCGCGAATTGTCCGATTTTTGGACAACACTGTGGTGAAAGCACGTCGCATGCAGAGATAACACAGCACGAATGGTGCAGAGCCAGCGCGCCTCTAGCGGCACACTTACGAATCTTCACTGTTATACTTGTTTACCATCACTTCTCGCTCACGTGTCATATCGCACTCATACAGGATTTGTTTTTTCTCATCTCCGTCGTCTTTTAAAATACTTGACAGAGCATTGAAAATGGAAAAAATAATTAAATGAAATCTTTTTTTTTTTTGCTGAATGAAAACAAAACAAATGTAAGTCGACGTTGCACCCACACTGCAGCATGCACATGAATAAAAACACTAAAAACAACAATCTTTAAAAAAAGGGACATAAAACATTGAAACATACATGAAAAACAAGCTCCTGTTAAATTGCGACTGTCATTAAGGGGTATCGTTACTGCGACCCGATGTCAACATTATGACAGAATATGTAAATGTTGCATCTGACTGACTGATTTATAATCTATACTTTTGTTAAAATACTTGTGTTTCATTGTTCTGTTGAAATGAGGTTACTGTCGGTCATTCAGCTTCGCGATGCTGACCCAAAGCAAAGTCAAGTCAGCCACATTGAGACGACGTGTCAGGTGAATGCGCTTACAGTAATAAGCTGCAACAAATGTGACTTGATCAAACTTTCCATTTAGTGCTGCTGATATGTCCTTCTGCACCTGTACAACATAATTGGGGCTTTAAATTGAAGAGCATTGGGAAAGAATATGAAAGCTTGCCTTCTACTTCTCACTCTCTTCTTTATTATAAATATGTTGTATCAAACGTTGCCACAAAGAGGCTTTTATTTTCTAAAACCCTAACCGGAAGCGCTGTGTTTGACTACTCGCGAGCTTGCCGCTGGTCCTAATCTCACAGTCGAACTTGAAGAGGCGACTGATTTAAGGATAAAAAGAACAAAAACCAGCAAATAAAACACTTGTCATTTTACTCACACAACGGCATTGCCTTGAACGTTTAACGTCCACTGAGCACATCATAGTTGTTGTTGAACTTTGCCACGTTAAAACGACAAAAAAACAAAGAATTCCACTAATGCATATCAGCAATTAACGAGCATTCAACACCAACGTATTGTTTTTGACGTTTATGCACTCAAAGCCAAACACAGAACATTGAGCTGACAACATATGAAGGAATTGTGATGTCATAATGGACTATATTTTAACTGTAAAACGATGGCACACATTATTGAGCCAACAAAGAAACCCCCCCGAGATAAAACAAAAAACTCCAAACTCACCAACCTCGATGGTGAACGGCGTTAAAATCCACTCTCTCTCTTTTCATAAATTTAATTTCTTCGTCAAGAACAACTTATAAAGGGTGAGTTACGTGAAACCCACTTCTCTACTGGTATGGTCCTCCGCTGCTCTGTGTCTGACAAAAACTGTGTTTTTTTCCTCCGCCAGGGTTTTATAGTGCCGCTCGATGCGGAGCAGAGCGGAGCGGCGGCAGAGGTAACTAGCGGTCACCGTTTGATGCCGCTCCCATATAAGGCAAGCACGTGCCCAGTCAAAACATGTCTTAAAGAGCCAGCCATACCTCACCCATTCAATTACTGTGAAGCTCAAGATGGTTGAAGGAAAATATTCATTTACTAATAAAACTACTTTAAGGCTGCACCAGAACTACTACTTATTCTACTACAGCAATAATCATATTTTAACAACTTAATTGCATTTAACCAACCCTGCAACAAAACATATGTTACCATATGTTTATATTTTTGTAAAATTGTTTGGTAGTTAGGTTTGGCAGATTTTGGATCAATAAAGTTAATTTATCCATCTATATAAATATTCACCAAAATGGTATATACGCTAGTTGAGAGGATTTATGGGTTAAAGAATACATATATAATAATATACACGGAGCAATAATTATAATCCAACACTATGGATATTGCTAAAAAAAAGAATACAGAAGTAATTGTAAATATAATATATTGTACAGTGGCACTTAGAATTATGTAAACAACAGAGCACTGTACCATCAAGTTTAATGGATATACTTAAATACTGTATGTTGAGATGTTTGTTCGGGTATTCATGGCTGTATGAGGAGCTTTGTATCTACAAGCCAATTATCTATAGCTTCAAAAACCTGTGCTGATTTAACTGGTGTAACTTAGCGCAAAATGTGAAATAGACCTACAGTATGTGACTCACAGAACGTATGGTCTCTGTTTAAATACTGAAATATGGAATATATAGATAGATAGATAGATAGATAGATACTTTATTCATCCCCAGGGGGAAATTTGTCTGTAGCAGCAGAAAACGAAGTTACACAGTAAAATAGAATATTAAGTATGGAAAATGCAACAATATATACAATACAATAAAATAACAGAGCAGAACCAATTACATTTAAAGAAAATAAAGTAACATAAAACACAGACAAATGCACAGTGTATACAATAAAATAGAATGGTATTAACTTAAATGAACTAAGTAGGAAAACTAAATTAACCAGTAGTGCAAAAGATTGCCAACAGCAGCAACAACCGTGTAGCGGTGTTGTAGTCATTTGAAGGATGATCTGGCCAAAGGTGATTTATTATAGAGTCTTATAGCAGAGGGCAGGAATGTTATTGGTCTTCAGTCTCTGGCCTCCATGCAAACCTCCCTGGAATAAAATGTCACCTCACTGACATCCTTCTCTTTCTTCTTCCTAAAAAGCATTCCCCTAGGCCAGCATGAATGTGGTTGTCTGTGTGTATGTGTGTGTTAGTTCTTTGACAGACTGGCAACCTCGGTGCACCGTGCCTCTCACCCAGTGTCTGCTGGGACACGCTCCAGCCCTGCCTGACCCTGAACAGGCTAAGCGGCTTAGAAAATGGACGTGGATGTTAACTTGCCATTGCTTCATTTGCACTTGCTGCTTCAAACCTGGACTCAGATCACAGCAGGGCAAGAACAGCCGGACACTGATGCAGCAAAGCAAAATATACCAGCAGTATTTTATTTTTATTTTTTTTAAGTTTCTGCAATACAACACTGTTTATGATTTTATGATGTTGTTCTCTGCAAAAGGAGATAAAATGTCCCACTTCACATCTCTCAAGTTTTCTTACCAAGTTTAAAAAGTGATTTATACAAATCTAGGTTTTTTGATCTTAGTTTTCCACAATATTTTTTAGAGTAAGTAAATAGACCCCAAAACATTGACTATACTTCAAATAATTCTAACTTGGATAGTAAAACTTTTTGAAACCAATTAAAGTCAAATAAAAGTAGCTCTTATTTTCTCGGAAACCAATGAGAAAGCAAGTAAATTGCAGAGTTGTGACTGGTTTTGGGCCTACAGAAGACATATGGCCTTTTTTATTTTCTATTAATGTATATATTTTCATTGCTATTTTACATTATGCAAGACATGCACGGATGTAAAGACATGCAAACACAAATGCACACAGAGTGTACTGAGTGTAGCCTCTCGTGTTTGAATGCTTGTGTTTATGTGAAACCCGAATATTCACGGCAACATTTCCATTAATCAAGAATAATTTATGCAACCAGCATTGCGACACAGCGCAAGTGTATTTTCTTAAATCAAGTAAAAATGCACTTTGTTCTCCACTGTTCAGTGAGTGTGGCTAAACAATGACAGACTACGCTGGACACGGCCACTGGGTAACTGGACCGCTCTATGATCCAACAGCATTCTGTTCAGGGGTAACTGTAAACACCTCACATGTCATCAGACACCAGTGTCGGGCTGGTTTATGTTTGTGGGACTGCGTGGCCGCCCGCCAGCCACACCAGATTAAAACACATCTCATCGGTGGGAGAGAGGAAGGAACAACTGCTCAACTATCATTTCTCGTGTTACACATTAACAATGTCTGTTGATTATCATCACACATGCTTCAGGACAAAACAATTCAGTAGTGCATGAAACAGGATGTACTGCTCATCTCTCCGCACAGTTCATTCTGACCCTGCATTATAAAGGAGAAACACAATTAAAAAGCAATAACTGAACTCACACCACCACCACCATCTTACACTTTCTGACTCCTCATGTTGACAAATCCTCAGAATAAAGCAGTGTTTTCCTTGAACACTAATCCTATTTGTTTGCTGCTTAGCTGTTGTTAATGTGTAGGAGTCTGATGTACAGTCAAGGCTAACTAATGTACAAACAACATGGTGACCATCTGGCAGTGATTATCTGGCCTATAGTGTGCCTCCACTGTCTTTTATTCGGTTCCCTCTGCTTAAGGGTGCAATTAGTTTAAATAGAACCAATATGGGATATGTTGTAAAGACAGAAGGTGCTTGAAAATAATGTCAATTTAAACATCATCCTACCAGTTCTACTCTATTGTTGTTGTATACTAATATACATATGTGTGTCCTAAAGGGACATGTTTGAAATTTTCCTGCTTTGCATTTCCTCAGGATTTTTTTTTGTTGTTGCCTCAATTAAATGTGTTCAGACTTTCCTAAAATGACCCAACGTTTATGTTAAGTACCATTGAGCGCATGTCATTTGACATATTGCAACAAGTGTTGATAGAATAAACTGCAGAATCTGTCGTTATCCTTTAATCTTACAAGATTCAGCTGATTTAGTTTGAGGAAATAAGTGAACATGATAACCTGCACACTGCTGTTTGGTACAGTGAGCACTGCCTGGCTCCGGCAGCTCAAACAAGATGAAACAAAGTGTAGGAAAAAGGTATAGGCGCGGGCCATTTTAGAGACCATTTCTCCTCCGCTTGTGGATGGGGTACAGCGAGGTCTCCCAGTAGGGGGTCTCATTAAAAACAGGATCCTCAATCAGAGTGATTAGTCATCTAATCCATCAAAGAAGCTCTAGAACTGTCTGCATGGATGGAGACGGATGATAATCTTTCACAATGACGATAGCTCATTTTGTTATCTGAAGGATTCAGGGTAACTGAGGAAAGTTGAAGCCGTTGTCATTTTCAAAGCATGAGTCGTACTCATTACCCGCTGAAAATAACAAGTTTCAATAGATTAGTGATGTATAAAGTGGCTGCATATTACAGAGGGTGACTTTCAAATGAATTATAGATTCACCAAGTAGTTAAAGTATGAGTTGAGGTAGTGATTCTAAATAACGTTTTTGTATTATTTATTTAGGGCCAGGCTGTTTTTTATGAAGCCTGTTGTTTTTTAGTGGTTGAATTTAATCACCTTGTGAATTGGTTCATTTATAAAGAAATACATTTGCTCTTAAATGATACGTTTCAAAAGAGTGTAAAAAGTGATGAAATCATCATTAAATGTGCCATTTAATGTGTTTCTTTCATCATTTTGTGTTAACATGATGAATAAATGAATACATTTCAAATTAATTAAATGACAGTAAAATCAGAACAGTGTAACAATTAATTGATTCCTGGAGAGGTAAAATAGCTTTTTTCTACTGACACATCCTGTCCTTTCAGTAGGTCAGAGGTCATTGTTAGCAAACAGGCAATCATTGTCTTCTTCCAGGACATTTGAGGACAGTAAATTACAAGAATGACATTGACCAAAAATGACATGACGGATTCCAAATATCGTGCACAAGTACAAGGTCTTCCCTGCTGCCCAGACCAGTAGTTGGAGAGGGAGAATGAAGGCAACAACAGTCGAGTTTCATCAAATTATACCGGAGGGAGTGAGAAAAACGTGTGGCTATAGACAAAAAAGTATCTTTTTTATAGCGAGTTCAGTCGTTCTTTTTCCTTGTGATTATGTGTAGAAAACTGTCAGTGCAGTTATTCCCACTGGCTTGAGAACAATAGTTTGTTATGGCTGGCACAGCGGGAGGTAGCTTCCACACTCAGGACCGATGGCATCACTGGACTGTAACCAACTTAGGATGTTGAAACGCTCTCTGGAAGTCTTGGAGTTGTGGCTGCAAAGGTATGACAATCAGTTCATTATTGTAAGCCGCTTTTGGTTAAAAGCGTCAGCTAAAATAATGTAGTGTAAGAAAAAATCTTGACTTTTGTATCCGCACACAAAGTTAGAAAATGTTCAATGAAGTGAGCAACTGAGTGTCTCACAGAGAGACAAAAAAGTGTTTGTACACATAGAGACACCATGAAAAATGTAGGAAAGTAAGATTGTGGCTGCCTTCAGGAGGATTTGTTCAGTACATAGTGTTGTGAGCCATTATTGTCCTTCACCAAACAAAACAGTCCATTCATCTCATGCATCAGTCTAAGAATAAGT